AAATAAAATTTGTAAAAAGAAATATAGATAGTTTTTAGGACATTATTGTTTTCTTCACCCATTTAGGGCTTAGATGTAACTCGGTAATTATAACAAAAAGCACATACAAAGAACAAAGATTCATGTTTATTTAGAGAAATAAAAAGGCAAAAAAAATTATCTTATTGATTTGAATAGTCAAAGGCTCAAAATGTTAACAGCTGTTAATTTAGTGTGAAATGATTTAAAAATAAAAAGAAAGAAGAAAAGCTGTACATTGAATGCTCAAATATATCACACAAACAGTCAGATATCACAAAAGTTGTGTGGAAATTTTTTTCTCATATATTTTAGATGGTAGTCAGAAAATATGATCTGGAAAATTTCATCTTAAAATTTGATTATCAAGTGTTAAATTTTAAATAACATATAAGCTACTTTAAATGTAAAGATGAATTGATTTTCATATAGAAAAAAAAGACAAAAAAAATCAAACCATGTAGTTATATGATGTAAAGGATAAAACTAGCTTGTTGAAAACCATTCTACATAATTTAAAATCACCTGTTTCAATTTATAATAATTTACAATCAGACTAATGCCCTCATCTTTGTTATTATCACAGTATTATCCCTAAACATGGACAATGGAATGAGAACTATCTACCTCCATAAATTAAATAAATTTCAGTTTGAAATTCCTTGAAGGTTGCCCAGATTGACAAGATATATGAAGAAGGCTAAAGAGAAAAATAGTTGAAATGTTGTGATAATAACACAAAGGTGAAGACACATGCCTGATTGTAAATAATAACTCATCATTTCAGAAATTCAGACAGACAAAATTAAAAAAGGTAGTGGATTAATATCAAATTTTATTGAAAATACAATGTAAAGAAATAAGATTTGGTCTCAGAAAGTAATGGCAACAAAATATTTAAATACTTTCTGAGACCAAATCTTATTTTTCACCTAGTATTTTCAATAAAATTTGATATTAATCCACCACCTTTTTTAATTTCAATTTTTATTTTCCATTAATATTTCAGCAATGTTCTTATATTAATTCCTATTTTATTTTTTTTAACATATTTCCATAAGTTTTTCTTTTTTGACTAAATTTTCCATTACTGAATTTTTCTGGCACCATCTTAGATTACATAGCTTCTTTTTTAATGAATACATTAGTCATGGAGTTGAGAGCAGCAATCAAAAGTTGTTATATATTGGTGAATTATTAGTTATTGTGAATGATTGTTTAGTGAAGTTGCAGTATATCGGATATCAATAATTCTAAGCTGATGCATATAGATTAATCAATAGAAAGTAGAGATTAGTCAGAAGCTGAAGTTTATTACTTTTTTTGATAGTAAAAGGTTGTAACTGTTAGTAAAAAAAACAGAGGTAGTTATTTACTGATTGGTCAATAATTAGAAGCTGCATTTATATATTAGCTAATAGCTAGAAGCTGAGATTAGCCAACTAGTCAATAATAACTGGAGTTTGTTGGTCAATAAACAAAATTTACAGCTTTATTATTTGGTCAATAGTGACAAGCTTAAAATAGTTACAAACTACCATTGATTCAAGTAGTACAATTAGCTTTTAAATAAAAGAACATTATAATTTGTAATGAAATTGTTAATCTATTATCTAAGGTTCTTAAATACCTCTTGTGTAAACAATTTAGTTGAAGTGCAAATATCAAACAGATTTCAAAGATCTGAAAGTAATATGACACATTATAAAGTAATATAATGGTTATAGATAACATACATATTGACAAAGAAAATTATAAAATTATTTTGAATGAATAAAATAATAAATGAACAAAATATGCAGATGCAGTTGGTGTTACTGCTATTTTTTTATGCAATGAAATCTAAGATGAAGGAATGTATATCTTGTACATTACACAAGAAAAAAAGGCATTTATTAACTCATACTCATTTCACTCAGAAAATGATTAAGTCATATATGTGTGTGTGTGTGTGTGAGAGAGCACATGTATCAAATATGTAAACCATATAAGTGGACAAGAAATTCAAAAGTTGATTTACAAAACCATACATGATTCTTTGCAATTTTTTATTTAGAATTCTTTTTTAAAATGAGTGAAATGATTTCTTCTCTAAACTTTGGCATTACTTTTAGTAGAAATTTTGGTATAAAAGCTACAAATGTAACCCTACTTTCTTTTCACAAAAGTCTATTTGTATTTTCAGCTTAAAGCATTATTTTTACTGCACCAGTTATAACAATTAGAGCACAGTAATAAAAGTCCTATATATATATATATATATATATATATATATATGAGATAACAATATATATTTTTATATATCAAGAACAGTATAGGGGAAATTGTATGATAAAGTGGAAAAAGTTTACTTGTGACATATTTCGTCCTTCAGCAGAACTTCATCAGACAAAATTTGTTATGTTAGTACGACTATACATTTCCATTTTGTCATACAATTTCCCCTCTTTCTCTCTACACACACACATACACACACACACACACAGAGTACAAAATAATAAGCAGTAATATTTCAGTTATAATTTTATTTATATCTAACCAAGCTAAAAACTATTTACTATTATTTGAAATTATTATTCATATCTTCAAATTTCTGCAGGATGTTACATAATTTGAAAGAACATGAATACTATTTTATAATTTGTTAAAGCTAGAAAATGAAAATATTTGAAAAATGCAGTAATGGCAACCTTATTTAGGAATTACACACACAAAAATAGTAATATTTGTCTCAATTTGTACATAAAATTCAACATGTACTTTTTATTTAAAAATATGTCAATATGCATATAAATATTTACTATTCAATACATGCATATTTGTAGGTGAAAAATAAATAGAAATTAGGCATTACTATTTATGTTATTTGGATTATTATTTACATATATATATATATATATATATATATATATATCATAAACATGTAAATAATAAGATTTTTAAAAAATATTTGTATGATGTGTGCAAATGTATTTTAATTTTTGTACATGTTTAGAGCAAGAATATATTTTCTTTTAATATTTTTAAATTGGAATTTATAATATTTCAAAATTAATCATACTAAATTCTGTTCAGACAAAGGAACTCCTTTTTCATGTACACATTTCAGTTGATCCAGCTTCAGCCCTGGCAGGTGTACACTCAATGTGTTTAATATTAACATCAAGCACATGAAAAAGGGGTTCAGTTGCTTGAACAAAATTTGAAATGTTAATTGCTCCACTCAAGATTATAAACAAAATAATGATCTTGTAATTTTAAGTTTATTTATGGCTGTGATTTTTAAATTGTATTTATTTAAATTCTATCTTAAAAATGAAAAGAAAAAATTTTTTTATGTATATAGTGTTTCTTTGTGTATAATATGAAAAATTTTGTATCCAAATCTGAGCAAAAATGTTGGGGGCTGAATATAATCAGAAAGATATTTCATACATTACAAACAACTAACAAATAGTTTTAACTTTCAACATATAAACCTGATATTTCGGGCTGAGTGTTATTTTGGTATATACCAGAAGCTCTCACAATGGGATCCACAAGACTTCTGTAAAAGGCCCATTGAAGGAAAATCATTTTGAAAAATATGAAGTGAAAATATAATAATTTTTTTTTTATGCAAAAAGAAAAAAAAAAAGAAAAGAAAAAGCATATCCAGAGCTATCAGAAAACTCTATTAAAATACTTCTCTTCCCTGAACTGTAGTGCCAAACTGAGTACCTGTATTATACATGAGGCTATACTTTTATACATAATTTTCCCCTTAAAATTCAGTACTCCTAATATGCAGTGTAAAACACAAAGAAATACAGTAAATACAAAACCATAGTATAGGTACTTAAATGAACCCCTATCAAAAGAAGTACCTTACACATTTTTTATTTCAATATATATCACTTATAGCTAAATAAGTATAAAAGTTATAATATTTATGATAGTAAAATGATCTTCACTTAGACAATCATTTTAATATAAATTTTTAGTAAATAACCAATTTTAGTCAGACGTTTTTTAGATATTGAAAGTTTATCTAAAAAATATTTATTTTTTGTTAAACCACTTTTTTTCATGGTATTTTTTCCTAGTTTTTAGTATTCAATCCCATATGTCATTAGATACATTATTTTTTTTATTTGTTTTTGTACTGTGGCCATTACTGTTACAGAATAACTGTTATATTGAAATAAAATTTGAACTTAATACACTCAGATATACTCATAACTGAAAAATAAATATATATTGTATTGAAAACTGCAATTGAGCTATGTTCTTTGATGAAACAATACTAACCTTGTATTGCTCATTAATGTTTTCAAGATCATCTTTACATAGTTATTCCCCTTTACCTCATGGTTAAAAAAAAATCATCGATAACCCTACTTAATAATTATAATTTTTACAAATAGGTAGAGAGATATACAACTATTTCCATTCAGATCTACAATTGTACTTTTTTACCCAGACACAAATATAAGCTCAATCACATGTTCCTTGAAAAATGACTAATAATAATAATAATAATAAATAAATGAATAAATACAATGATACATCTTTGTTCTTATTGTACATGAACAGTGTAAGAAAAAATCTTAAGAATTTGTTCATTTCTCCAACTGATGTTGATAAAAAAATAAATAAATAAAAAAACCTGTGATGTCATTTGACCAAAATGTGAGTGAGATGATAAGTGGTTTCTGGAATCCTTGTGCCAAATTCCAGTCAACAATTCCAAGAATATCAAACCGTTACAATGGAATATTCAACTACAATTCAATTCCACTGATTACAATTATCAAAAATTTTATGAACCTTGTAAAATCAACATTTTTTATACATTTAAATTCGTTTTTAACCCTCTTACTTTTGTCATATTCTATAGGAAAATCATTTGAATTTCAAATTTATTATTTTTTGAATTTTTTTTTACATATGACTAAATACTTCTTTTCCTTTCTTTTTTATTCAATCTTGATTTTGCTTTTTTAATTTTTTTTTAACTTTCCAAGTCCAAGGATCTTAGCAGCTTTGTGCTGAATCAGCAAATCAAACACCCGCTCCATGAGCTGAAAAGAATAAAATAAATAATTATAAAATACCAAATTATAATGAAGTAATTATTAAATAAAATATACATAACATTTGATATACATTACTTTGTGCAAAGGAATGAACATTTTGATGATTATTAATTTCTGACAAGTATTTTTGTTGTCTTTGAATGAAAGAGATTCAGATACACAAATAATTTTCAAGTATGGTTTAGCATCTCTCTTAATTTATGACAAAAATATGAATGGATACTTGAATTTCTTGAATTTGAAATAACTAGTTCAATGAGTGGCCACAAGGTGTTGTGTGTGGTACTAATTCTTAATTGTTTATACTACTGTGGTTGTTAACTTCATTATCAGTTTTTTTAAAATCCTTAATTAATTTGCTTTCATTTACTCCTAGTGCATTTACACAATCACTGACAAGTTAATATTAATATAAGAAAATTTTGCTTATATTTAATTTCCTAGCAGTCCTAATACTTTAAAAATATAAGATTTTTATAATGGTTCAGAGGTGTATTATTTATTATTATTATTATGTGACCCCTGATTGTTTGGCAAAATGGTTAACCTGACATGGTTCTAAAAACAATGGTGCCAGTAAATTGGTGGTGCACCTGTGTTAGTCAAAACTCAATAACAATCATAAAGGTCCATCTAAAAAATTTCAACTAATTTTACTGATATATGTAAACAAAAGATAGCAGTGTATCAAGTATTTGGGGTAATATAAGGAATAAAGCTATAAAATTATATTTGTATAGCTGCTAACAACTGACTTTTTCAGCTTAATATATAAGGCAGCTGTCAGAAAAAGTTAAGCATAAGACATGCAAGTTGAAGTTTTACCAGGGGCTTAATTTTTTATTCCCCCATACACAATACTTACATACTTAACAATCATAGAACAACACTGTAGGAGTTGCAATAAAAAGAAAGAAATACTAATCAAAAATAGTTGACAAAGAAATTTTGAATAATAATAATATAACTAATAATAGGTAATTTTGTTATAATTCAAGGTTATTCAATTAAAGGAAAATAATTTGCTTTGTGACTTGAATTTATAAGCACAAATATTTGTACACAATTATTAATGCACAAATATAAGGTAATTAATTTTCACCAATAATGATAGAGTAATGTTGGATAATTATGAAAAGGAAAAGATGACATGAGAGAGACATAGAAAAAGAGAAGAAACTAGGTTGGTGAGAGATGATATAAAAATAAAAGTGTAAAGACAGCACAGAAGAAAAAAAAAAAAGAAAGTAGAACTGAAAATGAAAGCTGAGATGAGAGAAAAAGATTGCTGAGAGAGAGATAGAGAGAGAGAGAGCAATAGTCAGGAAAAGAAAGTGTATATAATAGAATGATGGAGAGGGAAAACCTGGTGAGAGAAAAAGAATGCGAATGAAGAAGAAGTGAAAGGCAAAGAAACGAAAAGAGAAAAAAAATTATTATTTTTTTAACAAAAATAAAATAGGAACCTTTATTTTATCATCTAGGTATGTTCATAAATTTTCTGAAGCAGTTCCCCAAATTTGATGAAAACTAAGTTTAATCATCAAAATCTTTATGTTATTATGTATCTATATAATACTAAGTCTGTGAATCGTGCTTACAAGGTGTGTCAATCTGTCGGGTGTATAATAATGATTTAAGTTTCTTTCCACCTCTCTGTGATTGTATGCATGTTTGTTCATCTTTCAGCTTTCTCTAAACAAACAATATTTTAAATATTTAAAAAGTATTTTTTGCCATATTTAAAAAATATTTTCAAGTGAATATGATTTAAAAATATTTTCTAACATATTGAAAAATATTTTCAAGTTAATCTGATTTTAAAAATATTTTAAGTACCTCTATAAGATCGCTAAAACCATGATGAAAACAGGCTCCAAATGTAATGAAAACATAGTTTGATTGTTAAAATTTTTTTGTTATTAAGAAGAAAGATCAAAGTATTTTTTGATTATTTAATTAAATTTTTTACTCCTTTTTAGAACATTTTGATTAATAAACTTTTTTTTCTTGTGTCAGCAGCTGTAGCTTAGCAAATTTTTGACTCTTTTTTGCTGTGATACTCATTAATTTGGAAATTCTTGCAATAATCAAATAATTGTAAGATTTAAATGAAATTTTCAGGACTTATTCACAAATGAATGAAATTATTAAAAAAAATTTTTTTATTAGAAAATCTTGGTAAAGACATTTTTTATTTTACATGTGTTTTTTTCTCCTTACTTAATTTTATGAAAGCTTGAGAAATTCATTGAGATAATTTTTAGTGACTAAAAGCAGAATTTTTTGAAGAATTTAAATCACCTATTGTTTTTTTTCAAAATCAGACCTGGTCTTACTAAAAATCTGTTCTGAATTGAAAAATAAAAATGCAATAAAACTAAAACATTATTTAATTGGAGAAGCTTTTAATTGCTTTTATGAATATATATTAAAGAGAATTTTTGATGAAAAATGAATTTTTTGAAAATTTGTTTTCATTTTTTTTACAATTTAAAATTAAATAATTTATAAAGTTTTTGAATCTCTTAAAGTTCAATTTTAATGAGATAATTTAGTAAAACTATATTTACTAATCATATATTTTAAAGCTTATAACAATCTGAAGACCTTGACTATTTTTAAAAGAATTTCAATTTGTTTTTATATATGTACATTGATGCAGAATCTCTGAAGTATGGATGTACAAACTGATAAATCTATTCTTAAAAGGTCACGTGTTTTAAGGGTTGTCCCTCCTTATGGAAAAAATAAAAACAAAGCTTTAATGAATTTTCTCATCTGCTACACCATACTTAACTATGAACACATTCAGCAGTCAATCTGTTGTCAATAAATCAATTAACAAGTCAGAAAAACAAGATCCTGCAGTTAAGAAACGTTTGTATACAACATTTTATACTATAAGTAATATTTATTTCAGATCAGATTAATTTAACTTTAAATTTGCCAATTTTCCTCAAATAACATTTCAGAAATATGTATTTTTGCAATATTTTTAAAACAGAAAATAAAGTTTTGTTTACAAATATCTAAGAAATGGTTGATAATCACAGAAAAAAAAAGTTTATTCCAATCAATATAATTTCTGTCTGAAATACACCAAAGTCTTTTGCTTAATCCTTATAGTAAACTTAATGTTTTTAAAGCTAAATTCAGGAAAACATTTTAATTTTTAAAAATTCATTTTAAACCTTATGTTTACCCAATTTGTAGAGGTACCTAATTTTAGGACTTAAAAATAAGAGTTGTTCATACAGTAAGTATTTTTATTTCAACTTTTTTCAAACAGACAATTTTTTTAATGTTGAAATCATCTTCAATGTTTTATACAACCTGAACCGTCAGTGACCCAATGGGTTGCAAGTAGTCTAGTTAAGAGTAAAGACCAAAGTGTTTTTTGATTATTTTATTAAATTTTGAAATACTTTTTAAAACATTCAAAATTTTGATTAAAGATCTTGTTTTTCTTGCATCAACAGATGGACTATAAAATAACAACAAATTTTGGCATCATTTTAGCAGTGAAAGACACATTGATTTGGAAATTCTTGCAAAAATCAAATAACTGTCAGATTTTAATGAAACTATCAAGACTAATTCACAAATGAATGAAATTATTTTAGACATGCTTTTGTTATCCCCACTTAATTTTATGAAATTCAAATGTGCAACTTTTATTGATTATATTAGTTAAACGCATAAGTCTTTGAAGAATTTAAATCATTAATTTCTTTTAGTAAAATTGGACCAGCAGTTACGGAAAATTTGCTCTGAATTGTAAAATCCAGAACCCAATAAAACTAAGACATTATTTAATTAGAAAAGATTTTAATTGCTTTTATGAATAATATATATTAAGGACAATATTGCCTAAAGCAAAAAAAAATGAATTTTTAAAAATTCAGTTTCAGTGTTGTAATTTTTAGGAAATACTGTTATTATGTAAAACTATTTTTACTAATCATAAATCTAAAAGCTTGTAGTAGTAAGTTAATATATATATGACCATTTGTAGATGTCTGTTTATTAACATGACCACACAATTTATATTTAACGCAAAATACCACAAAATATGAAACACAAGAAGGAACAAAAATGGTCTTATAACAACATTTATATTTATTTTTGTGTAATGTACATGTATAGAGGTTACTATTTTGTTGGTGTTATGTCCCTTTGAATAAAAGTTTTATTGATGAAATTGAAATATTTTTATCTGAGCTCACAAAAGTTGAATGAATTATAAAGCTGAGAAATGCTGAATAAACTGTAGCTTTAGAAGAGTATTTCAAAGAGAAAAGTTATTGTTGCTTGCTTGGAAATGTTTTGCATGTTTGTAAAATTTCGTGTGTACGTGCATGCGTGAATATATTTTTAACATCTGACTGCACATAGTTGAGACGGGATCCTTTAAGGTTACATCTTTGCAGGAAAAGAGGAGAGAAGAGAGAGTGAGCAAGCTTGTGTCTGCTATTTATAATTAATGTAAACACATGACATGCTCCCAGGAAAATGGCAGGAAAACTTGACTTGGTCACGTGCTGGAAAATTATTGTACGTGGGTGGATTGCAACGCCCCCTTGTATGTTTATTGACCAATTAGAAGCTGATGTTTCCTGAAAATCTGTATGAAGCTGAATAAGCTTTTGATCCTCTTTTTTGCACAGATTTCTACAAAATTCAACATTAATAAGAAAATGGTAGCGGGATGCTAAAAGCTTATTACAATCTGCAATCTAGCAATATTTTAAAAAAAGAATTTAAAATTTTTGCTGTATGTGTATAAACATGCCTTATTTTTTATATACAGATGTTCATACATAACACTATCAATAAAAAGACATGTTTTAAGAATTGTTTAAAAATTCTTAACTGAGGTAATATAAAATTAATAATAAATAAAATACCATAAATTTCATAATAGATGTACATAAAAATTATAGGTACCTCTCTTGTTTATGAAAGTTTATGTGATATTAATTTTTATATTACTTCAGTTATTTTTCTAGAAAGCATCTTCAAACAAGTCTATAAAAATATATATACCTAAAAATCAATAAAATATTAAGCTACTTAAAATATTTAATTTAAAATTACTGGGTAGTTAAATAAGTTCACTTAAAATTTAGGTCACTTCTGTTCATCCATCTGATGACTTCTGACCTCAGCTGTCAATACCATCAATCAACACCTAAAAAAGTCACTGTGGTTAATAAAGGCTTTTTTTATTTTCTACTACATTTTTATGCTAAAAAAAGTTAGTAATGTTTGTTTCAAATTAGATTAAGTAAACGTTAAATTTCCTAATTTTCTTCAAATAACATTTGAAAAAGTATATTTTATTTTTTCAAGACTTTTAAAATGGAGAATTAACATTTGTTCACAAATGTCTCAAAAGTGTGACATCTTTGATTTTGCTGAAACCAAAAAAAAAAAAACAAGTCTATTCCAATCAATATAAATTCTGTTTTAAATACACCAAAGTTATTCCTTTACTTTTGAATTTTTAAAGCTAAAAAGAAAGTTTCAAGACTTTTCATTTTTAAAGATACATTTTAAACCTTAGGTATCACAAATTTGTGAACATACTTATCATAAACATAATAGTTCTTAGTTCTACTTACCCGTTCCCAAATGAAATTGGCAAATCTGTCAATGTAGTGCCCAATATCAATAAGTACACCACTGTAACGAACATAGACAACAGTGATGACCAGAATCAACATCAGCCACATAAATATGTTGAACAAAAAGACAACTGGGGACAGTCCAAATAATGCAAATACACCTGCACATAAGTAGCTGATAATGCACATTATGACCAGCACAGTTGGGGTGCGAGCAGCACTGAAAAAGTTCTTGCTTTGATTGTGTTTACACAAATTTTCATAGGCTTCTTCCAATTCAGCAATCAGTTTCTGTTCATACTTATGGCTGAATTCTGGACCACCCATTTTACGAGCATGTCGGAATTCATTCATGGCTTTCCTCTTGTTTTTTTCATGCTCAAACTTGAGTCGATCAGGATGCATGTAAGGCCGATTACCACCCACAGCCTGAGAGTAAGGGAGAAAGAGAGAAAATAATTAACATATACAAATGACACTGGTACAACTATATATGCATATATATACAAATAGGATATGTACAGCATTGATTAACATCATTGACATGTCACATCACAGGTCTTGTAACCCTTTAGGGGGTCATAAGGGCATCATATATACTGGAGCTATAGCAGCAGTGGGATGTCTAGAACAAGAGAGACTAATGGGGCCAAATCTCTCTTGAAACTGGTTTTGAATTTAGTTTTCCTTCTAGACAATTGTAAGAGAGTCAAGAGAGTCTGTCCAGATATTTAATCCACAACTGGAATAAGATAGATTCAGGTCCTTTCCATGAACATTAGCACAAATAAATGGAACACACTCAAGTAGAATTGAACTTAACATGCTGAAATCATTTTAATTACTTATAAACATTATAAACTGTGCATCCCATTGATTAACATAGATACAAATAAATGATTCTTGTTTAATTAAATCCTTGTTATTTTTATTTATCTTTTTTCACCAACAATCTAAAAATATATTTCAGATAGAAGGATTCTCTTAGTGAATCGTATATAAAAGAATATATGAAAATAACTTTTGATATACTGTTTTGATCAGAAATCAAATATCTACAAATCTAAATAATTTAGATCTGTATATGAACTTTTGTAAAATATAATTATTGTGACAGAGTATCTGGGAAACACACACGCACATATATTTTTTTTTTTTAGTGAAATTGGAGTAGATTTGAATAGCGAAATTAAATCAGAGCATTTTGTTTACTGATGGGGAAATCCATCTAGGGCAGAAGTTGTACCCATTGAATCTGGATCATCAGGAGACAATGGAAATGGTCAAAATAATTTTTATTGATTAAAAATTGAAATAGAGCTGAGTAAGCTAGAAGAAACTTTGGAAATCACATGATTTTGGTTGAAGCAGCCAGAAAGTTCCCCATGATAATTGCGTGTGAAGTAGTAAGGCCGAGGGTCAGTTATAACCAGCCGGGTTTATCTATATAAACGTGTAGTTATGCTGAAAAAGAGGGAATTGGCCCGGGCAAGTGTTGAGAGGAGGAATGCCATTATAACTTTAAGCCATGCACAGAAATCTTTATCCCTCCATCTCAAGAGTTGTATATCATTCTGAGACAATTTAACAACAAGATAATCACATACACTCACTCTCTGTCTAGAATCCAGTGTATGTATCTATTCTTTTCTGTTATATAAAAGACATTACAAATTCAACCATGATGTTTGTCTGGCTTTCTGTAGATATTAATTTTTTTTTTTTTTTTTTTTGCTGCATTCTAAATTTTTTAGCACAAACTCTCCAGTCGTGTCTACATCTTCAGTCGACCGTGAATGGATGAACATCACTTCTGCTCTCTGGATCAAATAAATCACAATGTGGGCAGGAAGCAGGATTAAACCAGTGGACTGGTCGAATAATCTTTGGATGGTCAGGGGACCTATGGCCAATCCCTTAAGTTCGGTTAGGACTGAGTAGACACCTCAACCCCGAGAGTAAGACGCCAGAGGTTGACGGGCCGGGGTGAAAGTGTTAGATTTTATATTTTTGCATAAAAATTTAAATTATCCCATTTTTTCAAGAGGTAGAAACTCAACTATTTCTTAAATATATTTATGGGAAAGGATGGGTAAAGCTAGTGCGATAAGTTTTTTGATTTTTTAATTGTGATAATTCAGGGGAAAATCATGTATACATAATTATAGGGATGTGTGGCTAGCATGGCAGTTATTGGCATGGAAAGAAAAATTGCTGAGCTGAGTTCAAACTCTGGCTCAGACAGTTTGCATTCATTTTGCACTAATTGTGGAAGACATGAATCCATTTTTTCCTACCAGCTAAGAGTTAAATAGCATAGCCTTCACTGGCATCAAGTTTACAAAACAACAGGAAATCACTCCATTATTTTCCCCATCCCTAAGTATGTTCATGACAATGCACAGTTTATAGATATAAAAAATAAAAACCATAATTACAATATGCTCAAAGCAATATTTCAATATTAAATAGAATATTAAATGAATATACCTTATTTTCTATAAAACAATTGTTATCAATACATTATTAATTACATGTTATATTTTCTTTGAAGAAAAAATATTTTTATTCTTCAAAATACATGTGACCAAAATTTAAAATATTTACTTGCAGAAAAGAAAAATAATTACAGTTAAAGTATTAAATATTTTTATTACCCAAGATTTTATCAATTTGAAGAAATAAATTGTAATTCAGGAATTTTAATTTACCATACAATAACTTTTTGCTAACAAATAGTACAATAGACTATGGAATAATTATCAATAAATATTATGAAACAGATGGGCAACATTTAATATCCCATGTATATATATGAATATATAACTTAAATATCAAATAAAAACTATTTTTGCAGCCAATATGAATAAAAACAAATAATGAAACTTACTGATAAGGAAGATAATTTTAGGCAATGTAAATTAAAAGATAGATACCTGATCTAAAAATTTTAATTTTTAGAAGTATGTTCAGTTAAAAATATTCTAATAGATCTGAATGTTATCAAGAAATATATTGAAACTCAAGATGTTAAATTTAGCAGCAGTATTAATTTTTATATTTTTAATTTTGGTTACATAAAACATTGTCAACTTTTGATAAATATTTTCTTTCATCTTCATTTTTATTTTATTTTTGATTAGATAAAATACTGTCAACTATTATTATAAAGACCAATACTTACTTTCATCTTCATTTTTGATTTTTGATTAGAGGAAGCATTGCTAACTATTATTATTACTCTGATTAGTTAATTTTTATCACAACTTTACTTGGATCATTGATCTATGGCCATGAGTATTGAGTGCAGATTGGAAGTAAAGGATGAACTCATAGTGAGATCTTAACTCATATCCTTTTTGTCTAAGGGTAGCCCCATTTTTAATATAACAGATAATTTACTCAAGTAAGAGAACTTCGCAAATTAAATCTAACCTTTAAACCTATTCCTGATTCTAGGATTTCAATGAGTGTTGTATTTGGTTTTTGTTTTCATATAAGCAATATTAGTAGCAGCAATTTTATTTTTTTAATAAAACATTGCTGGTCATTATTATTAGTTTTAACTAAGATAAAAGTAAATACTACTTTAAAATAATGCAAAGGTTAAGTATTAATAAATTCCTATATAATTTTAAGAAAGAAAACAAATTCTACCTCCTCCATTGCTTTTACATATTCACTGTGTGCAGAAGAGACAGCTGCTAAATTGTTAGCTTCTGCAGTGGCCTGAAACAAAAGGGAAACACAATCAGAGAAGAAAAAAAGAGAAAAAAAACAACACATTTTGAATGGAAGAATAAACTTACTACTACTAATAATATATATATATATATATATATATATATATATATATATATATATATATATATATATATATATTTATCTGAACAGTTATTTTATACAGGGTATGATGGATAAATTGTCATCTACATTATGCAAAATGAAAATAACACTGACATCTCATTTTAACAGATATATTTAACAAAATTACACAAAAATATCTTGAAATACTAAAGAGTAATTTTATTCAATAAAATTGCCATTGGCTTCAACTACACCATCCAGATAACTTCGGAATCTTTTGCAACTCTTTGGAACGGTCTCCTTGTTTAAGTTAGTGAATGCTGCCATAATCCTTGCCTTCAGTTCTTTGGTATTATAAGGAGTTTTGTTGGTCTCTTGCTCAACTGCACCCCACACATAATAACCAAAGGGGTTTCAGTCTGGGGAGTTATGTGGACAGATGTAAGGGGTGATGGGGTTGCAGAAATTGTCTGACAGCCATGATTGGGTTCTCCTGCTTATGTGGCACAGTGCAGAGTCCTGTTGCCAGACATAGGGTCTTCCAGCAGCCACGCTCTTGACCCAGGGCAGTATTATCTCCTTAAGGCACTTGATGTAGTGGTGAGTATGAGGCCCTCACTAACAAATTTGGAGTTCTTTTCTTACCAGAACAATTAGAGTGAGTTTTCTGAGCTGCTGCACCTTCGTAATCATCCAACTCTTTCTGTATCCTCTGCTCTGTCCTCAGATTGACACCCAAACACTGTTCATATTTGATCTTTTGGCACAAATGCCAAGTAAAGCATGCTGTTTCCAAATTTCTGCCAGAGTAAATTGTGTCATGGTGCTCTTTTTATCACAGATGGGGGCCAACTGACCCTACTATACTGTGTAATCAACAAAATCAAAAACAAACAACACACATTTCTGAAATTAAAAATATAAAATGGTGTCAATTTACCCATCATACCCTGTATTGTCTTTAATTTTTACAACATTTTGACTGTTGTATTCTCTAGCCTTCTTCAGGTACTTGTTGCATTTGGTCTTTATAATGCTGCTTCTGCTTGTTCTGCCCAGTTGATGAGAAAAACAAAAACATCATAGAAAGAAGTAGCGACCAACTTCACAGTTTACCATAAGTAATATTGAAGTAAATATAGCAAACAAGGTGAGGACAATATATTAAGTGAATGCAGTAATATTTATTTTTCAGTTTATGTATGTAAATATTATGCATCAAAAACTTTTAAGTAATCAATATATACATATAAGTAACATGAGATTTTGCTTTAAAGTGTAAACCATACTTTCAAGCTACAAATATAAGTATTGGGAAATTTAATATAAAATACTACCATCCAAGATGATTACCAAAATTCAGCATTAAGATTCTAAAAAGGGTCAGATGTTCGAGTCCTATGGAATATTTTGATGAGTTATTGAAAATATGAAATAAATCAAATGTCAGGATTTTGCAAATTTCCTTATATAAACATGAGAAGTGCAGCTGACAACTGGTAACTGAGTAAAGTCTATTTCTATATTAACAGCCCAGGCCTATCAAGCTGCTGCTGTTTTGCCACTACCACCAGTGGACACACAGACACAATCCTTAATAGATATTAATAGAGTATAATAATCAAAGTTCAAAACTCTACAAATTACTGCTAGGAAACTTTCATACCAAAAAGGATTATGTAGAAGGTTAATGATCCCTTATGTATCTTTCAATTTTTCTTTTTTTCATTAAGCCATATTGTTAGTTATTATAAAGTTTGTTCTTTGGAATTGGTTTTCAGCATAGCCATAGAAATTACTGCTGCTTGTTGGGAATTACACCTGAATTCTCAGCAGGTACACAATGACCACTGGGTGAAACCACTGCCAATTCTGGTTCCCTTCTAGTGTATGCTGATGACTACGCACTGACATTTGCTTAAATTTTTATTCATAATTTTCTTTTGATAATATGAAGACATACAGCTTTTTCATTATAGCAGAAATGATTGATGGCATTAGTGACTTATTATAAAAGTGATTATTTTATTAGGATAACAACAAAGTTCTTTCATAGCTTAAATAATAAAAAGAAAAAAATTGATTTAAAAAGATGAAAGTGATTAAAATTCAAAACACAGGACTTGCTTTATTTTCTGAATATCCAACCATATAAAGCAATAAAAGCTTCTTCAGTATTTATTGAACACTAATTAGACAATTTATTTTATAATGAAAAGTAATCAGCTAATTCATGTTTCCTTAATGTTTTCCTTTGTTAATAGCATCAGTACACTATCTGATAGTGCTATCTGTCTTGTTACAAGGTAACCAAAATAGATCTAGCCATTTTTTATTAGAAAAAAAAAAGGTATACAGCAAATTTGACATACTTTTAGTCCTCAATGTAATCCCCATCAGTATCAGGAACCTTTTGCCAACGTGCCTCCAGCTGCACACTACCCTGGCAGTAAAAATAAAGTGTCTTAGACACAAAGAAATTTGTGAGTGCCTGCCACAAGTCTGCCTCATTTGTGAAGGATTTCCCACAAAGGTGGCTGTCCAGGGAATGAAAGAGGTGGTAATCTGTTGCCACAAGCTCCAGGAAGTAAGGCTGGCTCCTTCTGCTTCAGTGCCTGTTGCACACATTCCAACTGCTGTGAGTATTTGTCTGCAGTAATGGCTTGGTCCATTGGTAGCAGCTCATAGTGCCCCACTTGGTGACTAGTCCACCACATACAGAGCATGATCTTGTATGGGTGTACAGGGGGTCTTGTAGTGTGAGGCACAGGGTCCCGTGGTGACAACCAATGTCTGGCACATTTGGGAGTGTCATACAGAACCCAATATTCATCACTGGTGAGCACTTGTTCAAATATGGGTATGTTGCAGTGCTGAGAAAATAATAAGAAACAGTCTGTCACTTGTTTGTTGGCTTCTGACAGTGTATGCGGTTATATCTACTTACTCAATTTTTACACCCTCTTCTCTATGTGGTGCAAGTGAAGTCTGACTGTTTTATCAGAAACCTGGGCCTCATCATCCAGGACCTGTGATCAGCTACTGCAGGGTCCATCACAAAAGAACAGATCTCCTGATTTGAACTTCTCTACACATTATCTCCAAAGGCTTGACATATTCAGCGACTTGTGGCTTCAAACAATCCCACCTAAAAGTCATAAAGCAGACATCTCCAAAATGAGCATCTTTGACATATTTCCTTGCTGCTGCTCAAGCCATGACTGATGTGAGTGTGTGTAACACACCTGCATTGGTCAAGAGCAATGTCTACACACCATTCAATTTACTTATTTGTGTGTCAGTGATCACTTCTTCCTACACAATATAAAAACCAAGATCAAAACAAAAAAGACTGCAATTTATTTAGTTATTTTTAGTGTAAGTCTGGTATAATGTTATATAAAGGTGTTTGTACTATAAATAGCATTCTACACTGAATATATATTTTTTTCCGATGTCATATGAATTATTTCTAAGTACTATTTTACAAGAAAAATGTCTGATGAAAAGTATAGTAACTTACCTGCAACATTGATTTTGGTTCAGGTAATTCTTCACCTTGATAAATTTTCACATAAGCCTTAAAAATAAAAAAATAAAAGATGTATTTGTCTATACAGATATTTTGACCTTGCTCTTCTCTTGTAAAATTATATTATGTTAATACATAAATATGTATATACAACAGAATAAACATGCATTTTGGTTAAAGTAGAAATTTAAATAATGAATAGATATATAAAATTATGATTACTAAAAATTAAAGATCAAATACTTAAACGTATCATATTTATCTTGTATTTTCTCCTTATATTGGACTAAATTATTTTTTTTACCTTAAGCATAAATAATTTCTGTGTAAAGTGTGAATATTTTACTTTAAATAGTTTCATTTTATTATATATATATGGTTATATATATTTGGTTACTGCAGTGGCCTGTAGCTTTAGAAATGACACAGTTGCCCTAAGCCAACCACATAGCGGAAAGTGACCTATGAGTTTTCTGCAGAGAGAGAACATATTACAATGTGTGATAAGTTGGAATATCTGAGAACTTATTTCCTCATTTCCATTGAAGCACACCGCACTCCCTCCAGACTTTCAAACCAAGCACTTTTGCACCATTGTCAAGTCTCATGTGGTGCTTGCAAAGTCATATATAGTCTTTCTGACGCGCACTATGGAAACCACACTTTCATCGACAAAGATGTCATCTACGTATGCCAAAGTAGCATCTTGGATTACTTCATTCTGCAACAGTAACGTCTTGATAATTGCCTTCATTATAAGAGTTGCCACATTGAGACTAAAGCTTAATCATGTAAGGCAGTATTTTCGCCCTTTCAGTAAGATGGTCTGGAAAGGCCACAATGACTGGTGTACATGGACCTGTAGGTATGCTCTCCAAAGATCCAACAGCAATACATTTTATTTGCATTGTCACCATTCCTTTAGTTTGGCTGCACAGACATCCACACGTGTCATGAGTGCGTCTATGTACTTGTTTAACTCAGCATCAGCTTGTAATTATCAATACCATTTTTTAACACTCAAACAAATACAAGAGGTGCATCTGTGCTCTCAGATGTGACATCTGTTGGATTATGTAATCATCTGTCAGTGCGATCAAAAAAATGTCCTTCAAACTCGCACCATGTGTGGAGTGGACTGCTGTATTGATCATCGTATGATTTTGCTCTTGTATGAATCTCTTGCTTTGGTCTCCAGCCCGCAAAACCAAAGCCACACCTACACTCAATGTTGCCTGTCTTGAAGAAGCATCAGAACAAGTCGAACTTCAAACGAATTTAATGTTTGTCAATCACTCCCAGCACCTCCCACCAATGTTAATGATCAGCAGGAAATCAACAGTCTGTGGGACTCTGCCATTCTAGCTATTTGGCAAGCTGCTGAAACTACACTTAGAAAAATTCAACGAAGGAACCCAGATTGGTTTGATGAATTCGTGGAAGTTATCCAGCCACTTCTGAAGACAAAGAATCAAACACACAATGCTCATCTTGCACATCCATACTCTCATGCTCACATCCAAAACTGGCACCGCTTACGAGCAGAGGCACCACAGGAAGCTTTGTGAAGCTCAAAACACATGGTGGCTCCACAAATCTGAAAAAATTCAATGTTTTGCTGATGAAAACAAAAAAAAAAAAGAGTTTTATGATTCCATTACTCATGTCTTTGGTCCTTCTCACAATCCATAGCACCTGTTCATTTCACTGATGACTCTACTCTGCTCAAGGAAAAAGATGATATCTTAGCATGATGGATTGAGTACTCCAAAGAACTTTTGAATAGAGACATTCTGATTGATTCTTCAGCTTTAGATGAACTTCGATTTTCCCGGGCCTCCTTGAGCTGTTCTGACATTGGATGAAGTTAACAGTGCCATAAAATCCATAAGAAACAAGAAGTCCCCCAGTGATGCCTGTATTCTGGGAGAGGTGTACAAGTATGGTGGACTGCACCTTACATCATATCTGCATTCCTTTTTTGACCTGTGCTGGACAAGCAGAATGATCTCTAAGCTCTGGAAACATGCAAATTTCATAAGCATTTACTAGAAAAAGGTGATTGCTCCATCTGTGGCAACAGCAGAGGCATTCCCTAGATGTGGCCAGGAATATTCTTGTGTGTTATTATGCTTTGCCATCTTCTCATCTTTCTGACTAAGTGAATTCTGCTGGAATCTCAATATGGCTTCAGACCTGAATGCAGTACCTGCTACATGATATTCATCACTAATCTACTACTTGAAAAAAGCAGGGAGCAGCAAAGAGAGATTAATTTTGCTTTCATTGACCTAAATAAAGCCTTTGATATGGTCAATCAGGAAGCTCTTTGGTTCTTGTTTGGCAAATTTGGCTGTCTGACGACCTTTCTGAGTCTTCTACATGAATTTCATGAGGATATGCTTGCTAAAGTATCTGTTGGAGGATCCTTATCAGAACAGTCCAGTGGGTATATGGGAGTTAAACATGTGTTTTTGGTTCCATGCTCTTTAACATTTATCTGGTTGCTGTGACTCTTCTCTCTCAGTTACATATGGAACCTAATGATGGAATACATATCTGATATCGCTTTGATGGAAATATCTTCAATGCCCGACGTTTCAAAGCTAAGACAGACCTATACGATTCCTGTCTATGAACTGCAATATGCTGACGATGCTGCCATAGTTTCTCACGAAACAGTACAACAGTTTCTGACTTCATTGCATAAGGCTTAATCTCGCCTTGATCTTGATATCAACCCAAATAAAACAGAGGTCATTCAAACAGCGTTTAAACAACATGATCCAGCAGCTCAGCTGCACATTGACGTTGTTTCGTTTTCTAATATTAACTCATTCATTTACCTTCGCAGTGTCATATCCAATAATCGACACATTGATGAAGACATTCTCTGGCAGATAAACCACACCTCCACCTCCGGGTCTTCTCTAATAGCAACCTCCGACTCACCACCAAAGTGGCTGTCTATTGAGCTGTTGTTGTTTTAACACTGCTCTACAGCTGTGAATGTTGGACCCTGTATCACCGACAAATAAAATTGCTTGAGACATTCCACATCTGCCGCCTTCAGCAAATCTTGCGCATTACTTGGAGGGATAAAATTCCCCACACCAAGGTTCTTCAACTTGCGGGGGTTGTCAGCATCAAGGCCATCATATGACAATGCTTTCTACATTGGGATGGACATGTTGTGCGGATGTCAGGCAGTCGCTCCCAAAAATTGTATTTTTCAGAGAGCTTGAGACTGGCAGCCGCCCAAGTGGAGGCCCAAAGAAGCGATTTTGAGACTACCTTAAGTGTGCTCTTGTCTCCTGCAATACTGATCCAACACAATTGGAGAACCTCGCAGGGGATTGGATCAACTGGCGGTCTGTCTGCATCGCTGGAATGGCGCACTTGGAGGAGGAGAGATGAATAGTACTCAAGGGGAGGCAAAGCCAGCGTCATCTGCAACCTGTCAATTCAGTACTGGGCATGTTTCCCAGTCAACTGTGCCCGAGAGCTTGTCATTTGCAGATTGGGCTGCTATCTCATTTGGCAGCCCACAGGAGATGGATGTAGATGAAAGGACAGTGTCGTCGTCAGCAATGACGGACAGTCTTAAGAAAGAGAGAAAGTTCTTTGATAGCATTCATCCTGATTAGAAGGTTGAAACCAAGTGGCTTTTTTTGCACCACTAGTACACTGATCTTGTCAGGACTTCCACTTTGCAACAGAAAGCAACAACTCTGATCCCAAAACAGGCTCTGGTCTCCCCGTCTGTCATTGTTATGCATACAGGCCCTTTTGTCCATGACTGGCATATCTCTATGCTGGCTATAGACAGTATCAACTAGCATGGTGATGGTTCTGCCATTAACCTGGACCCTGATCACAGGTAGTGCCAAGCTGGAGAAGATATTGACACTGATATAACTCTTCGCATGTTTTCTAGGACAGTTTTGAGACATATGGTCCACGGTATGGCAATGGTAACAGCACATGGTATTGTGTTTTTCTTGGTCTTGTCCCCTGTCATGTTATTGGCTCCCACAATCTTTCGCCATGTGGTTAATAACATTGAATCTAAATCACTTTCTGACATGAACGTCTGTACTTTGCATTGGCGTGGCCGCCACTGCCACCATGACTTCCTCCACCTCCTCATCTCTCATAATTGTCTGGGGTCAGCAAGCAGCTGGTCAATAGACAGTGGGTCCATCCTAGACAACACACAAAGAGTCTGCTTTCCATTACTGGCAACCTGTGCACAAATGTGTCACTCATCCTGTCCAACAAGAACATGAGTTTCTTCAACTCAGTCAGGTATATATCCACAGATTCGCTGTAGCACAGGTGCTGCTCAATAAGCTGTTTGTATGCCATAAACGATTCCGTAAGCAAAGGCTGTCTTTATCTGGTCAACGTTGGATTTTGCTTTGTCATCCACTTGTTGGTAAACTGCAAATGCTCAAAGGGATCATGTGCTCCAAAGACTTCACTCCATATCGCCAGCTTCTCTATCCATTTAACCACTGAAAAACTGGACGCCAATCTGTCAAACTTGGGAATTAACTTTAAATTGAATTTGGGGTCTGCCGGCATCCATCACTTGTCGAAATAGCTTGTGTTTGTCTTATCTGGTTTTCGCACATTGAGAGTGCTACTCTTGACTGAGAGAAAAACTGGTGTTATATAGCTCTCTCAGTCCCAGACCAATGCTGACTATTAGATAATACCTGCCCAGTATTGTTCATATGCAAATAGTCAGCACCACTACTCTAAGTAGGTCTTCTCTGAACAGCCCATTGTGGAAGGGGATGCAACTTCTGGTGCTTACAGCACCACATACAACCAACTCGGAGTCTTTTATCAGGCTGATTTGATTCTGTCATAATTGAATAATGTCTTAGTTTCAATGCATTTTTTATTTTTAATTTCTAAATTATTTTTGGTGATTTAAATTCTTGAAAGAATTTTGCTTTTAACTAATATAGTCACTAAAAATTAAGTAAGGGGCTGCCACGCATGTAAAAAACAAAAATTCTTACCAAAACAATTTCAAA